ATAGATAATTTCATAACTTAAAAAATTTGACGTAACTGATTACCTCAAATTTTTTGAGTTTTGTCAACTTATTCGGGATTACAGTGTATAGTGAATGAGTGTGTATGGATGTTTCCCACTGATGGGTTGCTGCTGTAAGGGCATCCGCTGTGTAAAACATGCTGGATAAGTTGGTGGTTATTCCAGTATGTCGACCCCAGATTAATTAAGGGACTAAGCCAGAAAGAAAATGAATGAATGAAATGTCCAATCTTCATACATCCTGACAGAGTAAATATGGACTTCGATGATCTGATGCATATGTGTTGTTCATTGTGGACTGATGGCTGAAAATGTTTGTGTAAATTGAGCTTTCCAAGCACTACTACAAAAGCCACATCAGCAAGCATTGGCTTACTAAAACATACCCTGTCAGCAAATACACAAATGTCCTGTTCATATATCACCAATATAGACGAGCGTCACTAAGAGAACAGCAGTAATAATCTCCAGAGAGAAGCGATGACCCTGGGTTAATATACAGTTACTCTACTTCCCTGGTAAGTGCCTTAAAAATCCCGTTTCCCATAAAAAGATATCATGCATGAAATTAGCACTATTACGTAGCTTGTACTTTCAACAAATAACTTTACAGGATCTTTGCAATCCTTGCAGGTTTTCATTATATGTGGGAGTGTTACAGCAGCTACAGAACAGAGGTACGGTTCTCTTATATTATTCATTTTTGCCATTGTGTTTACTCTTATCTTATAAATGTTAACTTAAAGGGTAGCAGAGTGGCTCAATGGTTAGCACTGTCGCCTCACAGCAACAAGATCACTGGTTGGCAGTTGGCATTTCTGTGTGGAGATTGCATGTTCTCCCGTGTTGGTGTGGGTATCCTTCAGGTGCTCCCAGAGACATGCAGTATATAGGTGAATTGTTTAAACTAAATTGACCGTAGTGAATGAATGTGTGTGAATGCGAGAGTGTATACTTGTTTCCCAGTACTGGGTTGCAGCTGAAAGGGCATCCACTGCGCAAAACATATGCTGAAATAGTTGGCGGTTTATTCTGTCGTGGCCACCCCAGACAAATAAGAGACTAAGCCGCAGGAAAATGAATGAATGTTAACTGTAAGAATTAGCTCTGTAATAATAGCTGTATGTAATCGTAGTGACAGCTGAAGTCAGATGCTTGCACACACCTTGAGGAATCTGCAAAATGGTCATTATTTTACCAAAATATAAGGGAATTTTTCAAAAAATCATGTTTTCTTTTTTATGTAATTTATTACTGAACTAAATAAGATGATTCACATAAAAGACATTTCATAGTTAAAGTGCTGTTTAGGAGGGAAGATTTTTTTTCAACACTTTTAAACAATAATTATGACAAATTTATTTTTGTATTTGCTATAATGATAATAAGGCTTAATTAGGTTAACTAGGCAAGTTAGTTTAATTAAACAAATCATTGGGCAATGGTGGTTTGTTTTATAGCCAGTTGGGAAAGATATTATATATATATATATATATATATATATATATATATATATATATATATATATATATATATATAAATATATATAAATATATATATATATAGATCTTTTGAATAAAAACAAAAATTTTAATTTAAGCTTTTAATTTAGTTTTATTTTAGTTTAACCAAACTTTATTTATTTTTTTACCAGAATAAAACATATAATAGGAAACACTGTGAAAACTTTCCGTCATCTGTTAAACATGACTTGATAGATATTTGTAAACGAATTACAATTTCACAGCTTTTGTTTGTTTTTGTTTTTTTGTTTGTTATTAATGCTAGTTTTTCATGAAATGTGTCCTAAACAGTTAAACTACCTGCTGATATTTAGGAAAAATCCTTCAGGTCCCAGAAATTCTTTGGTATTTCAGCATTATTGTGTGTTTGATCTCTTTCAAAAAAAATAAAAATTACTGTATGATTTTGAGATCCATCTTTTCATATTAAGGACACCCGAGGCACTCATACACTGCAAAAAATACTATTCTTACTATTTTTAATGAGGTTTCTAGTCCAAATATCTGTGTTTTCCTTAAAATAAGCAAAATAATCTTGTGTTTATTTTGAAATAAGATTATTTTGCTTGTTTTAAGGAAAACCCCACTTAATTTTAACTATTTTGTTTCATCCTTGACACATACAAATTTTTATGACTATGAACTAAAGGTTTCTTTCCTTATTATTTTTGTATTTAATGTAAAACAAATACATGTAGGTGATATAGAGTTGTTTTAAAGGGCAGAAAATGAGAGCATCATGACAGTGTGTCTTTGGGGTTCAGGGTCAGAACAGAAGCTGCTTTACTGTATGTGAGGCTGAAGCAGATTAAATAGACGATTACAGTATCTCTACTAAACTGTCCACCCATTCCCGCATCTGATAAAGGCAATCCTATTACGGTGATCACTGATCAGGGCTCTCCGTGGCCATTTTTTTTCTGCATCAAGCCAACAGATTAACTGTCTTAAGTCTTTTCTCATGACAGTGTAAAAGTAGTTCTGTCATGTGTCCACACGTGAGCATATTTACGTTTTTATATCTGCTCTCTATGTATGTGTGTACTTTTTTTTGTTAAAATAAGCTGCAGTGCCACAGGTATACGCAATATATTGATTTTATACACTAAAAAGCGATCAGATGACCTTCCTTTAAAAAGTGAGCAAACCCCATCGTATTAAAATTGAAGGAAATTAACTACATTATATGCTTAATTATAAAAATGAAACCCTATAGTTACAAGTCACAAAACACTCAAAGATATATATATATATATAATTGCTGCTTAATTCAATCTACTTATTTAAAATGAGCTCAATTAACACAACTCTTAAGTTTTTTTTGTGGACAACGTAATTGGTTTATGTTCAGTCCACTTAAAGTTATAAAAACAATGAGGTTAACTCAATCAAGTCAACATGAAGGAATTGTGTTTAAACCAGCAGTTTTTACAGTCCAGTTTTACTCACTTAAGTAAAGTCAACTTGTTGCTTTTGCGACAGTAGCCTTTACTTATTTTTTTATGTGAAATAATCACTTTTTGTGAGGTTATACAAAAGTGATGAAATTATGAGATGACTACACTAAAATATCTGTACAAAGATATTTGCACTGGAGCTGCCAATTAAAGCAATATTGGTTTATTTGAATATATATAAACAAAACAATAGTATACGCAGAATGACATTTTAGTTGGTGACTTCAAGATTGTTATTATTTGCTCAGAAAATGTAAAGCAAACAAAACTCCACATTATAATTTGATGCTTTTCGTGAAGCTCCTGAAATAAAAGCATGAACATTGAAGTTCATTCTCTGTGTCTTAAGAATACATTTTAAAAAATTGTACTTTAGAAAACTACCTTTTGTAAAGTCTATAACGCTTCACATTTACTTCATTGACAATCTTTTAAGAGGGTATTTCTCAGCTAAATTTATTATGTGATCAATTAATCGCCACATTGTGCAATACAGTGGTTGTCAAACTTTTTTCATCAAGTACCACCTCAGGAAAAAAAATTGTCCCTCCAAGTACTACCACAATGAGCAGTATTAAAATACAATTGCGTAGTAAGCCCAGTAAAGCAGCTAAAGCTCTGAACAACACCTGGAAATGTTGCCTGGACCTCAGAAATAGAGGCTATATAATAATATAATAAATATTATTATATACCATATACATATTTAAATCATTTTTGATAAATTTTGAAATATATGTATAATGTACATATGACGTATTTGATTCCTCTGCGTACCACTAGAAGAAAGCCCGCGTACCACTAGTGGTACAGGTACCACAGTTTGAGAACCTCTGGTGTAATACATTAAAGTGACTGACAGCCCTAGTTTGCATTTACTTGTTGATATAGATAAGTACACCCCGTAATGAAGCTTTCACTCATAAAATGAATCTGTAAATGGCAGAAAAGGAACTTCTAAACACATTACTGTTTTTTGTACTAGAGTTTATATAAGTTAACCACACAATATGTGGTTTCAAACTATTGGTGCAGGATAAAACAATTTTTGCAGATATCCAAAAAGTCCAAAAATGTTGATTAACTTTGGTTGTTAGGCAATGTCGAAACAAATATCTTATTTCTTTATGTTCTGTTTTGTTTTTGGGGAAAGTGTTAATTTTCAAGTGTTTGGTTTGTAACATTCTCTTCAAGCAGTCACTTCTGACCACTAAATTGACTAAATTGTGTTTTGTTTTTACAATCAATTTTTATTAATGCAATGTAGACATTTTTGCACATATCAACATATTTTTTGCCATATTGGACTGATACCTAGCTTATATTTACATTTCAAGTATTACCAGACGATTTATTGAAAGCAACAATAGTATGGTGCATTACTATTTCAATTAAGATGGACTGTAAAAAATGCAGGGTTCCACACAATTCATTCATGTTGATCAAGCACAAATTAGTTAACTTAACACTTTTAACAAATTTATGTGGATTGAACACAAAAAATTAAGTTCTAACAAATCTAACGAATTATGTTGTTTCAGCTCATTTTAAACAAGTAGTTTAAACAAGCAAAAAGAAATATTTTTTTGAGTGTGTGAAAACAAGTCACTTTGTTAATCAGCAGAGTTCAACGCACATTATGTCATTTTCACTGTTACATGAGTGTTCACAACCAACAAAGGCATAGTTTGATGATGTGAATGTGGAACAGGATATGTTACATCCTACAGAAATCATGATCATGAATTCAAAACTTATCATGGTAGCACGAAGCAGAGTAAGGCTGAAAGATGTCAAATGAGAGCTCTGAAGCAACTGCTGATGAGAGTGAAATAGAATGAACGCAGCAGAGCTTTTATTATGCCACAATCCACCGCTTCAGGTTCTTCTGGCTGTGATCATGTGGATTGTGGGTTATCATATTATAGACATTTAGAGCTATGTTATAATGCTACAGTGTTATTAGGAAGCAGTGTATTAAAACAGACAACATATTAAATTACCTTTGGTGTTTCCATGTTTTATATAAATAAAAACAAAATATTCTAGGGTGTTTGGCGTAATAGCATGGCGACACACGTAAAATAGCTCATTTCTCTGGATTTGAACATTCGTCGAAACAGTTGGAATAATCTAAGTATACTGTGCCTTTAAATATTCTAAATCAAAAGTTGTCAGAACAGACATCATGGTCTCATTAAGCAGTTAAAAGCATAAATATACGGAACGCACATAAATCAATAGCTACAGGCAAGTTTTGTTTGGATATACATTAACACAGCTGTTAATTGGCATATTTGTTTACAATATACAATATATGGTCACCTCCTCATAAAACCAGACATGAGGTCCATGGGTACAGGAAAGATGATTGTGGAGTTTCTTTCAGAGGCTATCTCGGTCAGCGTCTGCATGTAGCGTAGCTGAAGCGCTGCTGGAGACTCGGACATCACGTTTGCCGCTTCTTTCAGAGCGCGGGAAGCTTTCATTTCCCCCTCCGCTGCGATCACCTGTTCAAGGTTGAGAACAGCTTTAACATGCTCATTTTACTAAGGCAACACTTCAGTAAGCATGAATTCATTCTTCATATAAACACAATTCACTCAGTCTGACCGCTGGCACACACCTTTAATTACTCGGAAATTTCCGTTGAGCTGATTTCCAGCTTGTTTTTCCACTTGTGCCATAGTGTGAGAACATAAAGGCTCAGGTTTCCAGTCAACAATATGACTTGCATTGTTATAGTGATCAATGAGAGAGAGCTCTAATATGGAAGGATGATTACATCAATGTAAAAAATGGAAGGATGGATGATGAAAATAAACAATTTTGTTTTCTTTCAGGTTATTAAATTATCGGTTAATTTAAAATGCAGCATGAAAATACAGATTGTGTTTTTTTCAATAGTGACTTTTTTGGTCACTTAATATTATGGTTATTTTTTATTATAATAACAATAAGAGCATTATTGAAAATTAAAAAGGGATCATAAATAAAGCTGCTGCAAAACAGATATTCTAGTTATTTAATTGCTAAATCAGTTAATAAAAAATTTATAAATGTATATTTAGCTATATAAGTATCTATATTTTAATTTATTGACCAAGTGAAATGTAGTGTAGTTTACATTATATCGCTGTTAATAAATGAAATCATAATCATAATAATGGAATTTACTCTACAGAGAGTCATGAAAACGATAAACAAATCATTAAACAACTTTCTTTGAGAAAAACTGTCATGTTATGTATAGTATAGCCTTCACAAAACTCATTTAAATAAACATTTAGCTTAACTTAAATTCATTCATTAATTTTTTTTTCAGCTTAGTCCCCTTATTAATCCGGAGTCGCCCCAGCGGAATGAACCACCAACTTATCCAGCACGTTTTTGCGCAGCGGATGCCCTTCCAGCCCCAACCCATCTCTGGGAAACATCCACACACACATTCATTCACACTCATACACTACGGACAATTTAGCCTACCCAATTCACCAGTACCGTATGTCTTTGGACTATGGAGGAAACCCACGCGAACGCAGGGAGAACATGCAAACTCCACATAGAAATGCCAACTGACCAACCCGAGGCTCGAACCAGCAACCTTCTTGCCGTAAGGCGACAGCACTACCTACTGCGCCACTGTGTTGCAGCTTAAATTAAATTGTAACAGAAAATATTATGTATTCCTAAAATGTATTTATATTTTTTATATAATATGTGGAAAATAAATGGGGAAATATGTGATGCATCGAAAAAACTTCTTTAAAATTTAGTTAGTTAAATGAAAAGTTAGTTAAATTTAGGGGGAGAATCAAAAATAAATAATATACAGTATAATGGATTCTTCAAGAGGTGAGTCCTCACGCATCACAAATAGCAACTTGACCTGCAAGTGTTGTACTCCTCTGTAGGTCTTGTTTTGGAAACTGATTGGCTTAAGGGGGTTACAGCTCATCTACACCCCTGACCGACTGTGTGTGAGGGGCTGCCGGTGTTTATCCACCAATCAGAGAACACCGTGTCTCTCCAGACAGACTGAACACAAAGCTGCAAAGCTGATAAGACTAAACTTGGCAGGCCCGCCAGAGCAGACAGTATAGCATGTGTTTGTGCGTTTAAAGCATGTAACAATCTTTCAGTGCTCAGACACCCACCTTGGCTCGGGCATCCCTGCTGGCCTCGGCTTCAGCTGCCATGGCTCTCTGTAAAGTGGTGGGCAGTTTGACGTCTTTGAGCTCGACCCGTTCCACTTTGATCCCCCAGTTTTTGGAAGCAGAATACAGCACCGCCTGTCAGGCACAAGATAAAATGATCAACAGTTCACAGTACATTTAAAGAGCTAGTTCACCCAAAAATAAAAATTTACTTGCTATTTAGTATCCCTCAAGTGATTCCAAAGCATTATTTGTTTCTTTATTCTGATACATACATTAAATACTTTAACTAAGTAAACCTTATTAAAGGGAAAATGTAAAGTGTGACTGAGTCATTAATAGGGTATTTTTCTCAGAATTTGCGATTCTGTATTTTTTTTTCACAGAAATGCAACTTTAATTCTTGCACTTAAGAGTTTATATGCAGAATATGGCAGAATTTATAGACAACTCAAAACTGAAAAATTATCCAAATTCTAAACATTGTTCTTAAATTCTTGACTTTGTATTTGACATTTCTGAGTTTAATTAAAATCCTTTAGTTCTGGGTTTATATTTCACAATTCAGATGTTGTTCCTCAAAAATCTGAGTTTACATAATGTAGAAAAAAAATATGTAAGATGTCAATTTACAATGGCTAGAAAGTCAGAATCGTGAGATAAAAAAAGCACAATTAATATTATTATATGAGCCTCCACTGTGTGAACAGGACATTTGGAGACACATCTATTACATTATAAAACCCAACAGTCAGCTTCATCAAATGAAATGAGTGTAGGTAACTCAAAATGTACTGAACGTTAATTCTACTCATTTGAAAGGAGTTTTAAACTTTTAACTATGTTAAAGGTAATGAGTTAATTAAATACCCCAGTATTTCAACTCATATAGATTAGTTTTTTAACTCAAATGGTTTGTTGCAATCGGTTTCCTCAAACAGTTTGACTTGCCTTAGCTTATTGGGTTTTACAGTACTCAGTTGGTTTGAGTTCATTTATTGGGTTTTACTGTGCTCAAATTGCTTCATTTACTCAAATGGATTATGTTCACAGTACTCATTAGGATTCGTTTTTGAACTGAAATGGCTTGTTGCAATCTGTTAACTCAAATGGTTTGAGTTAACTTAACTTTTTGGGTTTTACAGTGTGTTATTATCATTTTGTGCAGACTTGTGTGAGATTTCTTGACTGTTAAAGTTTCTATATTAAAGAAATACATTTTGTGCCAATAAAGAACCTATTTTTAAAGGTAGAACTAAAGCAGGTGCAACTTGCCTCCATCTGTTCTGACATCTCCTCTCTGTCTTTTAGGATGTCTGCCAGGCTCTTAGTTCCGAGCATGTTTCGTAATGTAGTCTGTGCAATCATCTGTGTAGCATAATTTGCATTCTCCACTTTAGTATTTAATATAATCCTGAAACCTGGTTCAGGATTATATTAAACGTGTAACCTCAAGTTATTATGTAAAGAGTAATTGACGATGAGCTGTTAAATTAATAGAGCAGTAATGCAGTAATTATTTTGTAATAATCTATCTAATGCACTGAGTTATTGTGTTTAAATTTGGGGAAATGCATATAAATCTAATTTACGATCCCCAAGTACAATACAGAAGAAAGTAATTAGAATGATAGAAAATGTGGAGTTTTTGGAGCATACAAAATCTTTTTTTTTTTAATTGAAGATTAAGTTTAATGATCTGGTTAAATTTAATGACACAGTTTATGTTAAAGCTAGGAAATAGCTACTTCTAAAATGCAAACAATTTTAATTTTTTTTTTTTTTGAAGAAAGACATGGACGATATAATCTGAGAGAAGAACAAAATTTCCGGATGTTGAAAACAAGAACAACTTTAAAAAGTTTGTGTATGTCTGTCATTGTGTGAAATTGTGAAACAGTCTATAAAATATTCTAAAACAATGTCAGGATAGTAATCAATAGAAAACTTTGTATAAAATATATATTATTTAAGGAATATAATGAGAGGTGGTTGTAAAAAAAAAAAAAAAAAAAAGGTATAATAAAATTTTAGTTATTGTCTGTATACACCACGTTTGGATCTATGTTATACAAAGGAAAAGTACAAATAGTGATTTAACCATATCCATAACCATATCATATTTCAACCATGATGTAACGTATTTTGTTTGAAGAATTGTTTTAAGTGTATGATTTATTTTTTGTTTTTTCAAAATAAATTAAATAAATTGGACTGGAGTAAAGTATTTTGCTTATACTACATGGTCACCACACCTAAAGACACTGTTCACATGTTGTATTTCATGATATATGTCAGTTTTTTTATATGTCAGCCTATTGTTTTCGTTTGCTTTTGATTTGACTTTTGACAGTATTAGGCTGTGAAGTAGTTGAAATCCTTCACTTCAGTATAGTGATGTGGAAATCTAATGCAGTTAAAACCTGCCTGGAACTACTTTAACTGTGCATTTATCTAAAAATATCTGCACACTTTAATAATGTTCATCAGCCAATCAGAATGAAGCATTCTGTCCCTTAGTATTAATTTAAACAATACCCTTAACTATTTTAGCCAGTTTTTGTACAATGTAAAAATTTGACCTTAAATTCACAGTAAATTACTGGCTAATAATTGCATTACTTTCACAGTAAAATACTATTTGTAAATTCACAACAAATTACTGTGAGGTAGTTACTGGGATTTTGTTAAATTAAATTACTGTGAAGTTACAACTATAGTGTATTATACTTTAGTATTATCTTGTAGAATTGACTATATTTTACTGTGAAGCAGGCTTTCCTCAGCTTGTCATTTTGACATTTACCCCAACTTTGAAATTGTTTTGAGTGTTAAACAGTGTTTGGTTTTATAAATTAATTACTTTAGTTTATTATGTTTTAACTAAGCACAATTATGTTTATTAAAAGTGATTTCATATTTCCATGTTAACCTTATAAAATTAAATATAGATGAAGTTCACTCGAAAATGAAAATTCACTATGAGATTCGTGTCGTTTCAAAACCGGATGATTTTCTTTCAAGTTATTTTTGAAGATGGAACCAAATTGTTTTGGGGCCTGCAATAACATTCTGTTATTTCTAAAAATCAAATAAGTACCAGTCCAAGTATAAAAGTTAATTTGTATTAATGTCTATGTTGAATGAAATAAAAACAGTTTGATTTCTATAACTAACATGCAAAAGATATAGTGCCTTTTACATTAATTTGCAGCAATCATGCTAATTTGATCAATTTCACAATAAATTATAAATACAACACATTACTTTAAATATTTACAGTTAAATCCGGTAAATTATACTCTTGTAATTTTCTGTGAGTAACGTTGTAAAAATCTGGAATTTCCTTACAGTATGGATTTAAATGAATTACTAACCTCTTGAGCGGGGATGTCAAAAGACACCGTCCTTAAGTCGACCTTTCGAAATGTGTCCATACATGGAATAATCCAGAACAAACCTTTAAAAAAAATCAATAAAAGCACTGCTTGTGTCACAAGTGTGCAGTAAGCAGACTATTTTTAATAAATTATTCATGATTCAAAGTACTAACCAGGTCCTTTAGCACCTCCAAGGAGTCGTCCCAAACGGAAAATAACAGCTCTCTCATATTCTTGAACAACCTTTTAATAAAAAATGTTATGGAAAAAAAAGAAATGGCTGAAATGATGTATATTTAGGCAAAATGTTATTCTTTGCTAATAATGAAACTTTTGTTTTTAGTAAAGTAAGTATGATGTTATATGTTGTTGTTACTTACCTTCATACAAAACCACACTGAGACAGGAAAAGTAAAAAAGATAAGAAGGCAAGAGAAGAAAGTGAGGATGTATCCACAGAACCCACAACTCTTGGATTGATCCCCATCTGATTAAACCCAAAGGTAAGAGCTCAGTCTCGATAGATTCAAAATTAGCTGATTAAATATAACAAGAAATCTAGAAAAACTCTACAAACCTGACTGGACTATGACATTTGTGTCACTCTCTTCATTTGCGATAGGTTCAATTTTGTTATGGGAAAGCTCACGCGAAGGAGACAGCATTATAGACATGGTCAAACGTTTTTGTTTTCTGTTTAAATTAGATGTACAGGTACTCTGAGTGAGATTAAATACGCTCTGTTTCCATTGCCGCCCATTTTCACACGCGACACTTTGTATGTTACTAAGCAACAGCTCGTGTTACACCTGAAAGTCAGTCACTTCCTTTAGCCTACGAGGCCTTATCAAATATCATCATATTATCTTTTTGTTTACACATGCAAACATACAGCAAACAAATATTTTGTTTGTTTCTTAGTCAGATGATAAATGCTTTAGAATATGGAAGACGTAATCAATTAAGTGTTCCATTATGTTGACTGTATGTAGCTTTATTTCTCTTCCTTCGAATTTAGACATCCTAAATTAATACAAACAAAAAAGCCTATGGTTTTATTTAAAATTGTATTTAATGTTGCTTTAAATAAATCTAAAGAGATCTGGTGAAATCAAAATGTAGCCTACTTTAATAAAATAATAGGTCCCTCATATTTTAAATATTACCATAAATTCTATTGATACAATATAATTTTAGGAGCTTTCGTGTTCCTCATTAAAAGTGCAACTGTGTACATTAATTTATTAAATTAGTCTGAATATTATAAATGTGCCGCCAAAGGTCAAAGAGGTTTTAAAGAGGAGGTTAAAAGTCTGCATCCACAGAACATTAATGTCGTTTATTAATTTAAGTTAAATCTAATAAAATTATAAATGAATGTAAGAAGATTGATACAAAATCTGCTTCTACTCAAGTTGTTACGATATATTATAATAATGTAATGTTTAAAAAAAACAAAGTACTAATGCTCAATTGAACATTTTCAGGATATGGTACCCAACAAAATGATTGACAGCTATAAGACACGCCCCTAGCCAAAAAGCGGAGATCTCAATGCACATGGGTGCGCTCTGCACTCCACTATTGAGCAAGACGCGGTTTATTTTCACTCAGAAAACGTTTCTTAATGTAGCAAAGATATCTCAGAGGACATCTAAAACGTGAATATCGTCGCCAAGTGTAAATAACGTGATGTGTCGGCTACTTCGTGTGTTTTCCTCTGTTCTATTGTTCAGGCTGTATGCATGAGACGCAGATGCAGTCTCTCATTTACACGCTTCGGGACATTATATTGTTTTCAGACGTCGCCTGTGTTATATAACATGAGGTAAGTACAACTTTTATTGTTTGTTTGTTTTTTCCACAGTTTGTGAAAGGAAAGTCTCTTATTTTTAGATTGACCACATTTTTGTTATGATGAAGAATTGTACACAATTCACAATTGATTAAATATGTCAAGTAAGGTTTTTATTTCTTTTATATCAGTACCACACATTAACTTTTGATTTTAACTTTTATGTTACATCTATTGATTTTTATTGATTTGTTTCAATGAATGCAGATGATTTGTGTTTTTTATGCTCGCAGTCAAAGGGAAGTCTTATTTGAGCATCTTTTGGTGGTGGAAAAGGTAAGCCTGAATTAGAGGTAGTATAGACCATTTTGAGATGTAAACAAAAACAATGGTCCCAACGTGTTTCCTGTTTTACATATTTAATTTATAGCTTGAGAATCTAAAAAGAGCCAGATATTAATAAATAATGTTATGATAGCTGTTTAACTTGCAGTTATTATTGAATTGCCTCTTGTTACAGTTATTAACTAGTTTGATAACAAGCAGGAAATGTTCATGGGCCAACGACATGACCACATTAAAATGGTCAGTTCTTGTTTTATATTGTTTCTCAAAAAGTGGACATTTTTGCCTCATTTAGGCTAATATTTAATTATGAGATTTAAATGCTGCATTTTAGTGACATTTTAAGCAATTTTTTCGCTGAAATAGATTGTTGGATGTTCATCATAACCAAAAAAAGTTCATTTAAAATGTCCTGGATAACAACAATAGCCAAAATAGTCTTTAAATTAACTTTAATATCTGTCACTTTTGGTGCTTCACACCTTTTTATTTGTCATTTTTTGTTTAAAGAATAAGATTTAGAGTAAAAGTGACTTATTTTAAAACGCATTTAAAACAATACAGTAGCAAAAGATTACTTCACTTAAATTAGATTGTATGTTTTCTTGACAGCTAGATGTTGGACTCATGAAAAATATTTATGTGCACTGGCAAAAACTGTATCAGTTAGGGGTGGGTCTTTTGAACCACCCGAACCGCCCCGGCTAGGGGCTTGTACTGTTCCCAAAACAGCAACCTTTAACAGTTTTCTGTTCTCAGGATGGTTGTAATGGGCCACAGGGGACCGCTGCAGTTGTCTGACCTTTTAAAGCTGTATAATGAGGACTCTGTCCACACCCTTTGCTCTGTGTTTGATCATGAGTGGGAAAAACAACAGAATAATTACAAGGAGGTAACTTTAATGAAAACAGCACAAGCCAGAGAAATTGTGTTTCGTTACAATGCATGCATTGAGATCTAATGCTTTCAATATGTTATTTTTGCAGAGATCGGACCTAGAAGATGATTCAGGAAGAAAATCACTACTAGTAACCAGTAAAACAAATGCTGGTTATTCTCTACTTTACACATTATGGAAGACATTTTATCCATCTTTAATCAAAATTGTGCTTCTGAGATTGTCATCTGATCTTTTCAGTATTTTAGTTCCTATTACTATCAGGTATAACCACAACTGTTTCCCAAATTAAAATCCAAGCATATATAAATTAAACATCTAATATGTTTGTGTACTAATCTCTTACCCTCAGATGGGTTATCCTGTTTTCTGAGAGGCAGGCTGTGTTTGGCTGGACTGGATACACGTACGCTCTGGTGGTGTTTGGGGCACTTTGCTGTTGTGCTTTTTCTCAGCATCACTTTGAGAAACGTAGCAGGAAAATTACGGCCAATGCACATGCAATCCTGTCTGGCACCGTCTACAGAAAGATAAAGGTTATAATCTTAATTCACACTCGGGAACACTTTGTTTTGATGGTCTCTTTGAGTATTAGTAGACTTTCTGCTTAGTGTCTGCTAAGATTGCTCCTTTAAACAGACATTTAACTGACTATAAAAAACCTTGCAAGAACATGTCAACTTACACTAACCCCAACACAAACATTCTACTTATAATCTAATGAGAATTAGTTGGCATGTAGATGCACTTTAACTTAAATTCAACAAATGGACCATAAAATAAAGTAAGACCCAGAATTCTTGGTGTGTTTTGCAGACCAAAAGTTGGCATTTCACAACTCCAGCTCTATTCTCCTGAAGCAAATAGGTTGAAAGAATTGCTGAAATTAGTTCTGCTGTTAATAGAAGCTTATGGATTTGTTTTATAAGTATGTTACTTGGTAATATACATAACACAATGTAGGATACAAACGCACATGAACATTTCATGAACTGCACTCACCAGCCACTGGATTAGGTGCACCAGTCATTTTAATGCTTCACACCATTTTTTATTGGTCATTTTTTGTTTAAAGAATAAGATTTAGAATAAAAGTTACTTATTGCATTTAGGGATGTAAATGTGAAATGGGAGTTTGTCATTGGTCAGATCTGCAGAAATTAAATTTTTATTTGTCACAAACAGAGTAATGTATGATGTTCAGTGAAATGCTTACACAATCACTTGTTAACTTTAAATAGTAACAGCAATATCTAATTAAAATAATGTAAGAACATAATCTATGAAGAAATGAATAGTTATGGAAAATAAAGCAAATATGAAATATTTTAATATTTATAGCTGTAGAAAAGCTGTAGCATTTGGTTAAATCTTTGCCATGTTGCCAAGTCTGCCAAGATTCACACAGTTCTGTAGCCAAGAACGTCCAAAATGGTACCACAAAGGTGTACCTAATAAAGTGGCCAGTAAGTGTGTGTCTTTTTTGCAGCTCTCCATATAAAAACACACAAACTTGTGATGTCACATTGAAATTGTTAGTTGTAAATTTCCATGTATTTAAAATGCTAAATAGTTTTTTCTTCTTTCCTTTATGGTTCACGCTCCCCTCATTTTCCCCTTCTCCTTTACATTTAAGACATTGTCTCTTTCCCATAGTTCTCGATGGCAGTCCGACACCTCTCACAGAGAGGATATGTTAGGTGAGGCTGAACGTGTAGCAGAGTTGGTGGTCACTTTGGCCTGTATTTGGTCCTCCCCGCTACGAGTCACTCTCTATCTGGGCTTACTTTGGGCTAAACTGGGTCCTAGTGTGTTGGTGGGAGTGACATTGCTACTAGTCCTCATCCCTGTCAAGTCAGCTGTGGAGAGAAAAGCCAAACAGCTCAGGGTAAGTAAGGAAAAATGCATGCAGAAAATGATTAAGGGGTTTACTGCATCTCTACATTTCTCTCTTCTGTGTTTTAATTTTGTTTTGTTTTTCCTCAGAGAACTCATCGGGTCATCAAAGAAAAGAGTGAACAGCTCATCAAGGAAATGTTGCATAAATATCAGGTTATTTTAATTCCTAATCCTTACACTTGATCCTGTCATTTATAGTTCTTCCACAGTTTAATTTGTTTCAATCCTAATCAAGGGTGATTCTAGGATTTTAGTCTTAGGGTGGCTCAGTCATATATCTGGGTGTAAACTGATTTAGATCTGAGGAATATTTCCAGCACAGAAAGGTTGAGTTCAGGTCAAAAAATGGACAAAAGGACAAAATCAACCATTTTTGTAATGTTGCAGTTAATAATTGATTTGTGCACACTCTTTTGCAGTGTGCAAATTATACATTGACAATCAGGGGGTTGACTTTTTTCGGAAGTTTGCTAATACATGCTTTAGTGCAGTGGTTCCCAACCTTTTTTTGCCCAAGACCCCCTTTTTCCCTAGACGTCCCTCATCTCTTTTTGGGTGTGTGTCAATTTTTTTGCCTTGTGCTCAAAAAATTCTCTGGGCTTGTCACGGTATTGGGAATGAGTCATCTGCAAATGTCTTAATAATTTGGACGGCCTCATGCATTCGTTAGCAAGAACTTTGGTGCAGATAATGCACTGTGGATGGGTCAGGGACTCTCTGCTCCGAGAAAATGGAATAAAATCATAGTTCAGATAAATATCTTTGTA